TATGCCTGGCACTTAGTGAGCAGCCCGCCATCCTTAGTTGCTGTTTTACAATAACAGCAAGCATCACCATCTTCATCGCCACTCAAAATCTCTGATTCTAAGGAATGTGTGCAATGAACTATGAAAAGGTTTTTAAATAGCTGCTGTTTGTACCTTCCTTCACCTGTCTTGAAATAGCAAAATGTTTTAATTGCCACTTTTCTCCTGCCCCCGCCTATGACCATTCCGGCCTCATAAATGTGAAGCTATCTTTTGGGGGACACTACATGTGGAAAGATACAATGAGGTTAAGAATCTTTTTATTGAAAAAAGATTGGGAGCTGGACCTTCCAGGAAGTCTCAAGCCACCAGTTCTCTTTCAAGTAAGGAGAGAATGACCTTTAGCCCACAGAAAAGGGGTAAGCTAAGCAGACGACAACACATGTGGCATTTCCATTGGACCTGACGATGACTGATCGGTTGAGAACCCAAACATGGAGGCCCTTCTTTATTTGCACAGCTGGAAAACACTCCATTAACTGTGATTTTTGAAGGAGAATCAACCAGTGCTTATTTAAAATCTTGGCATACTGATTGTTAGAGAAGGTCACCATGGCTTTGTGAAATATCTGAGCTAGTCAGTAGTCGGCCCTCTTTTCTGTGTTCCAGTTCACTTGTTTTTGAAATAGTGTGAACACAGAACTTTAAATTCCACCAGCCATTCTACAGTGGCAATGATTGTTTTAATGTATTTAAAATGGCTTGCTGCTTTGTCTCATTAGGGTTGGTTCCCTCAAGACAGGACCTACTTATGCATAAAATGAAATAAACTCACAAGCTCTAGGCCTCCCTGGATTTTGCTGGTAGACTGGAGGAGGCAGAGAACTATTGCAAGGGGGGTACGAATGTCCCCAGACATTCATTTCCAGAGGAAAGTGTCTGAGATCTGCTGGCTAAGAACTGTCTCCATGGCTACCAGACTCCCAAGGAAGAAGTCCTGCACAGATAGCAGGTCCTTGACCACTAACTCAGTAACAATGTGAGAGCCCTCATGATTCTTGCTCCCTCCCAGGGTCATTCTGTGGTCAGGCCCGGTGGGTTAGTTCTGCCTCCTTGGACTCTCCTTGGGTCTGCTCTGGTCCCTGAATGCTAATGCTTCATTTCACTGCAGAACTTGGCCGAGTCAGGGTGAAAATATGTAAGGGGGCCCTCTGGACCTCATGACACTTGAGATGAAAAATGTTATGCTGCCTCCATACTATAACAATCTGAGACTATAAACAATGATTTAATTAATGACCATAGAAGAATACTTGCTCACCGATGTTACGTGGTCCAAAACCCCTTAACTGACGCAACGTGAAGCCAATGTTTATATGGGCACAGATGACTGGAATATCACATTTTGATGGCATTGCTACTTTGAAGAGCGGCAAACAGTGACATTCCCAAGGCTCTTTACATAGAAGCAGAATGAGGAAGGTGAAACTATCGAGAGGGGCTAACTCTGGTAGCAAGGGAAATAACTGGATGTGGACAGGAAGGGAAGGAGAATTATCATGGAATCCACAGCCTGTCCAGTCAAGCAGCTACTATTACCTCCTTGGATTTTCTGCATTGCTGTACTCATAACTTATAAATCCTAAAGGCAATATTCTATAGCCGGGCCCTAAAATACTCCGAGTTGACTAAACTGTCTTCAAAAGGATGCCTCGAAGATTCTTATAAACAATGACTAAAACTAAATTATGGTGTAATATTAGTTGATTAAGACAAGACTTCAATTTGAGTAATTTTCATCAGCTGGACACAGACAGTGGTAAAAACAATAACCCATGACTAAATGCATACTAGCTGATGGAAGAATTGCAATCTGATGTGGCAAGAAATAACAGGAAATTTTTTTTTTAAATTTAAAAATGGAAAGAAACTTTTTTCAAGACCACAGAATAAAGGAAAAAATGGGAAAAGTATAGCTAACTCAAGGTTTTTAAATGTCAACAAAGTTCCAAAACTAATTTCAAGAAAGGCCTCTTCACTCAGAGGAACTCTGGGATCTACTCGGCCTCCATCTCCTCTGCCTGTGTTCTTCCTATAGCTCTCCCTGAAAGGAGGCCAAATGTATAACTCTGAGACAAGTAGAATTATTGACACCTTTTAGTGAAGCAAGCCAGACAATGAACGAAAACAATTGTAGAATGTGTTATTTTAGAGCTTCAAGGATATGTTAAAAACTTCCATGCAGCCCTTCCTTTTTCAGATGAGGAAATTGAGCCTTGCTTAAAAGACTGTTCAAATAAAAGCAGATAATTAAAGAAAATGCCAAGCAAAGGGAAAGATGGGTGGAGGTTTAAGAGCCTGCCTGTTCACCTATTCTTAGAGAACTTTCCCACACTCCCATCCACAGTGCTGAGTCCCCCAGAGCACTTATTTCTCCATGGGCTTCCTCTGCCCACACCCAATTCAGCAGGGAGAAAGAACTGGCCCAAGCTGGGTACCATAATCTCTTCACGGGGGTGAGAGGGTGAGGGAGGACATGAAATTAGACTTTAGATTTGCTAGTCAGCCTCGAATGGAAAAGATATACATTCTGCTTTCTTATATTGTGCCTTGCCCACAGTATTGTTGTGTGGATGGATGGGCATGCATGGTACGGGGTGGCCATTCCTGGCTATATGCATGCCATAGTAGGGAAGGTCTACCTACAGAGAAGTAAGAATGCCATGGACATGTCAGAAGAAACTGAGAAGGAATAGAAAAACAAAAACATGTCTTCCTTCTCCCTTGTGAGACCCAAGCTTCCCTTCCCACCAGGGTTCTGAGTCACTCCCCTCTCTCTCCAAAACGCCTTTTTAAATTTCAGGGAACAACTTTGGTGGCTTGCACCTAAAACAACTTTGTCTTAGGTCATGAAAACTGGAGCGAAGACCCAAAAGCCTTCACTCAGTCCTCTTTTCTCCACTAAAGTCCAAACACTGGAGCTTTTATGAAGGATGGCTTGGGAGACCCATTGAAAGCAGACTGCTGAAATCTATCAGTCCCAATCTACTGTGCAACAGGACCTACCTTCCTTTATTAGGATTTAGAGTCGACTTACCTATTTTTTCAGACATCAAAGGAGCACACACTGTGGTACGAGGTTGGGCTCTGTCAGAGCACTCAAGATGAAATCAGAGTCAAAGGCTGCTCTCGTGGAGCTTGTAGCCTCAGAAGGGAGGCAAACAGGACCCAGAGATCAACATAACATGAGAGAATAACTCAGGGCACTTACATACCAGAGACCAAGCTACCAACTTTATCTATATGGCATCATGTCATGCCCACAACATGCTTGAGGGGAAGGTATTGTCACCACCTCTGCTCTGTAGATGACATGACTCAGACCTACCCAGATAGGTTTGGTAACTTGCCCATAGTTGGTGGAGAGTGATTGCTCAATTTGGATACAAGGAGTCTGGACTCTCCCACCTATTAACTTGCTATGCTTTGCCTTCTTGGCTGCGTACAAAATGAAAAGAAGGCCTTCACAGACTGGGCAGCCCTATTACTGACTTTCCAGTGCTGTCCCCAAACTATTTGTTTCTGACATGCAACAGGGGATTGGTAATCAATTAACCTTATGAATATAAAAAAGCTAATGATTACTGAGCACCTCTTATGTCCTAGTACTGAATGAGGCACTTAATATGCACCATTTCATTAATAAGAATCAAAGGAAGAATTGGATACAAACTTTCAGTTAGACAGAAGGAATGAGTTCAAGAGATATATAGTATAACATAGTGACCATAGTTAATAACGATGTGTTATACACTTGAAAATTGCTAAGAGAATAGATTTTAGGTATTCTCATCACAAATAAATTATAAAGATGTAAGGCAATACATATGTTAATTAGCTTGATGTAGTCATTACACAATGTACTTATACTTCAAAACATCATGTTGTATGCCGTAAATATAAATAATTTTGTTAGTTAAAAAAATTAAAGGAAGAATTATTATTACCGTTACCATTTTGAGTATTTGAACATTGAGGCAAGTTAAAGTTGACCAACTTAATTAGTAATATAGGTAAAGTTATGCTATAAGAACATATCAAACTAAAAATCTCAGTGGCTCAACACGAAAGTTTATTTGTTATGAACACTATTTATAATTCAGTGTGGGTTGGCAGAGGCAAGGGACAGTGAAAGTCATCTGCTCCATGTGTTCACTCAGGGACCCAGGCTAATGAAGGCTGCTGTATCTCATGACTGTTCTGTCTGGACCATGTACCTTCAGAGTTCACTAGAACAGAAGAGAGTGCCAACACCACCACACTAGCTCTCAAACGCTTTAGCCCAGAAATGACTCAGGTTGATTTCACTCACGCCCTATTGGCCAGAACCAGTCTTGAAGTCCCCACCTATATGCAAGAAGGCTGCGAATGATGAGAGAGCATATGGATATTTGATGCACAGTAAATGTCTCTGCCATAGTAATTCTCCCAAGGCTACTCAGCTACTAATCAGAAGAATGGAAAGACTTAACCACTCCACTTGACTATGTCCTCAAAATTTGGTGCTGGGCGTAGTGGCTCATGCCTGTAATGAGGCCACTTTGGCGGGCAGATCACTTGAGCTCCAGAGTTTGAGACCAGCTTGGCTAACATGGCAAAACCCCGTCTCTACTAAAAATATAAAAATTAACTGGGCATTGTGGGGCACACCTGTAATCCCAGCTACTTGGGAGGCTGAGGCACAAGAAACACTTGAACTCGGGGGGCAGAGTCTGAAGTGAGCTGAGATCGTGTTACTGCACTCCAGCCTGGGCAACAGAGCAAGACTCTGTCCACAAAAAAATAAAAAACAAAAAAAACCCATAATTTGGAAGAAACCATTTCAAGTCTATCAGTAATCACTTAGATACACCCAGACTTTACCTTAGAATTATTAGAACTCTCTACTTTCTCATGAATATTCCTAATTCTGCAAAAGTAGGTGGAAGTTATTCAGAGCCAAGCACGTTGGGAAGACCCACCTTTGTTGGCACAGGCCATCCACTTTAGATTGTCTGCAAATGCAGCCTCTCGTCCAATGAGGTATGTGAAGATGCGAACCTGAAAGGAAGACAAATGCATGGCTGAGTGGCATTCACTTTTTGCCATCCTGCGCAGATCACATGCATGGCTCACACACATGTGGCTTACCTCTTTAATGCTCCATGCTTCCCATCTGCAGGAACATATTTAAGACATCTGAAGTATAGTCAGCTAAAAATGTATTCAAAACAGGGGTCTTTGATCTTTTAAACCATATGGCACTGGTGGTGGCTGTTTTCAGGTGTGCAAGTCATGACAGAGAAGAATAACTGGGAATGGGAGACTGGCAGCCTCATGGGCCTGGGCTTGCTTCACACATATGGACAAGTATCATCTAAGTCTGGACCAAATCCCTAACCATTTTCCCCATTCACACAGGAAATGCAGAGTGTGCTCTTCTTGGGAATAAAAACGCCCCTGAAAGACCCTCAACATTTCCCTCCAATGGTGAGGACAGGCTGCAGACACTCTCTTACCATCTGTGGTGTCTGGCATGATATTAGAAGATAATTAACTGAGATGAGAGACACAGCCTGTGGCCAGGAGACCTATGGGGAATCTTTCTAGTCTTCCTAAGCTTTTGGTTCCTGAAGAGCAAAGAACATATGTAAAAACCTGGCTTTCTTATTTTCTATTGGTTTCTCAACCCTCTCTTATGAGGTCAGAACTCTTTGAAACAAAGCATGACCTACCTGCCAGATGGTATTTAAGGTTAAATGGAAAAAATATAAGGAATGAAAAGGTTAAAATCCTTTAATTCAATTTAAAATGGTATGTACGTCAACACTACACAGTCCAAACAAAATCCTTCTGATGGGCCATGTGCAGCCTGTGGCCACCTCTTTGTGACTGAGGTCAATGAAGACATGGCATTAGATGAATGACACTCATCAGGTGGTATCAAAGGCTTTACCAGGTGATGTCCTTCCAGCTCCTCTAGTCTGGTGGGTCAAGTGCTCCTACTGCTCCTCCCCAGCCTTTGCTACAATTGTGGTTAGCTAGTATTTTGTGTAGCTGGTCTGTGAAGTCAATTTGCTTGCTAGGGTATCCACTTGACGAGGGAAGGAAGGGATGTCTCCTTTACCTGGCTGGGTCCTGATGGAGCACTGCACTTGGAACATTGATACTCAATACATGGAGACATAAAAAGATATAAATGCTTACAGTGGATTGTAAAAATGAATATTCTGTTTTAATTATGCATATCCTCAAATCTGGGCATTATAACTTGAAGGCTAGTTGTGAAATAATGGTTTCTTCCCAACTTAAAGAGATATGTAAATGCATGTTATTATTAGGGAATGTCAGTCTGTGCTCATCTGTGCTTGGTAAGGCCATGACTTTATTTATCATAGCTCCTGCAAGGGGGCTTTCCGGGTGGATGGGCAGGCAAACAGACCTCTCTCCAGTCCTCTGGCTCTTCTCCACACCACTCCCATCAGAGTCACATTTGGGAGTGAGGATATGGTTGTTTTGTTTTGTGTTTCTAAATTGGGAGATTCTGGCTTCTCTTGGGGAGAACAGAAAGCAAAGATCCAGCTGGGCACAGTGGCTCACACCTGTAATCCCAGTACTTTGGGAGGCCGAGGTGGGCAGATCATGAGGTCAGGAGATTGAGACCATCTAGCCAACAAGGTGAAACCCCATCTCTACTAAAAATACAAAAAATTTAGCTGTGCATGGTGGCATGCATCTGTGGTCCCAGCTACGCAGGAGGCTGAGGCAGGAGAATTGCTTGAACCCGGGGGCAGAGGTTGCAGTGAGCCGAGTTTGCGCCACTGCACTCCAGACTGGTGATAGAGTGAGGCCCCGTCTCAAAAAAAAAAAAAAAAAGCAAAGATCCAGCCTCATATTGCCAAAAGTGATTACCATTGACCCTGCTTCATATAGCTGCACCCTCTGTTCACTTTCTATGCCTGTCTACTGTCAGCACTTAACTGAGAATCTCTGATTGAGAGGAGAAACTGAGGCCCAGTTAAGTAAAGTGTTTTGCTTAATTTCATCAAAGTTTCATCTCATGAGAGAGGACTTCTAAGACCTCAGGATAGCTCTGGTATCTGTTTTCAACCTTTGGGAGATGCTGGTTTGGTCAATACAGAAGATCCCAACCAACTCCAAGGCCCAGAGCCAGCACACACAGAATCCAGGACGAACTGGAATCAAGTCTCTTGAGACCAGACCTATGCTTTCTCATAAATCTTTGTCTTTAATTTCAAATTTAAGCTCTTTAAAGGGGAAACACTAGACCAATAAAAACTTGTATCCCCACTGGCTCCTTGGCAAGCAAGAAAGCATAAGAGATGCCTCTGTGGAAATGAAGCAATGAGTCTATCTTTATAAACAAAGACCCAATACAGAACAACCCATATTTTTGAGCAAAGGTGTGTGGGTATCAGCCTCCTCTGCTGTCTAGATGAAGAACCTTCATATAAACTGAGTTCTCTTGGAGACATAGTTAAAACTCCAGAACAATACTGTGAATCACTAGCAAAACTTCTATAACTCCTCATTTAAAAGACAGCATCCTATTTGGAAAACCAGTAGGATCGCGCCAAACTTCAGATCAGACATGGCTGCTTAAGAATAATTGTGTTAACAATAACCACAATAATGAAAACCATCACCACGTCCCCTGCCTCACCAGCACAGGCCTACCACGACCACCACCACCACGGTGGCTACTACAATCAGCACCATCCCCTGGGTCAGGTAATGTGCTGAGGGGTTTATGGGTATTATATTTGTTTTGTTGGTTTATATGTTATTTTATTGCTTATGAAAGAAAATCAGAACAATGTTCAATATTTCCATTGATTTGTAGTCCTTGGCTCCCAGTACATTGACCTCCTTATCTGAGCAGAAATGGCATGAAAATGACTTGTTGCATGCCTGCCTACAAAATAAACATAATCAAAGGATGCTGGGTTCACACCCTACATCTCTCATAATAATGCCTTTCAACTGACCACAGAAGAAAAGAGATTTTACTTTAAAGTAGTTTAAAGTAGGAAATATTTTGGAGAGAAATTTAATAATAGCATTTTATATTTGTGTTTTTTTTTTACATAGTAATTTCACCCCTAAGCATTTATCTTATAGCTGGAACAACAAATAAAATGCTTACAGGGACTAAGAGACAACAAAAATGACAGAAGTTGTAGAAGAGAGTACATATTTTCTGGAAGCCCTAGAATTCAGATTCAGACATTTTCAAAAATACACAATTAAGAGTACATGGATGTTCACCTTCATTACTTGTAAAGGTCAAAAACTGTTAAATTCTAAGTCTTTCTTGATAGCTGACTGGCTAAAAGTTCATGGTACATTCGTGTAGTGGGCTATCCAGCAGCTATGTCCTCATCCATGATGCACTGGTAAAAGTGAAAAGCAAGTTGTGCATTTTGTGTAGCACAAAATTCCATTTTTTTCTAAAAGCAGCCTCACACTTTTTATTTCATAAATTTTATACCATTTTACAAATAAACTAGCATTGCTTTAATAATTAAAGATCATTTTAAGTGAAAAGAAAGTAATGACATTGCTATTTCCTGAACAATTCTGTTAGGACACAGGAAGAATAAACGTTGCAGTGAAAATCAAACACAAAAAAGAGATGACATGTGGAAATTACGTCCTGGCCTTGCATATTCCAGTTAGTGCTGCCTTACGCTACTGCTCATTTAACTGAGTGCAAAACCTCTGTGAACAACAGTCAGATCGCTCCCAATTTCCATCCTTAACAGATTCTATACCCTAATGGATCTTATTTCCAACAACTGGAGTTTCTTCCCTAGGAAGCACCACATAACAAACTTTCAGTGGTCTGCCCTGAGTCCAGCTACTTTTCTGATGCAGTGAGTGTGAAGCAGACCCAGATCTGGGGTGGTCCTGAAGGCCAGGTACACAGCACAGACAATCATGGGAAGGTGCTGTGGCATAGTTCTGGCCTACACCAGATCTCCCTGGAAAGCCAGGCTTTCATGCTCATCATCTGCAGGCATGGAGCACACCACTTTCATTAATGCAGCTCAAAGGCAGGGGTAAAAAGAAGTCTGCATCAGCCTATTCGCTCATTTTGATCTCCCACTTAAGTTTGGATGGTCTTTAAATGTTCTACAAACCCAATTAAGCTTAATAAAACGTTAAGATGTAGACTTCCAAAGTTCAAAGTCACTTACTTTAATCTACTTAATATAAAATTTCCCCAATGGAACAAACAAAAAACTCATCCAGATTTTTCAAAAAAGCAATTATGCTTTTTACTGACATAGATGCAATCCCCATCAGAAACTGAGAGGGGTACCCTTCTTCTTAACCTTTGGGGAAGATACAGTGACTTTGTAAAGATAATGAATCAAATTTTCTCCTTTCTGCAGCCATTAAAATTAGGGGAGGGAAGTGGCTACCAGGAGAGTTATATGGGGCAATTGCACACACAGAAAATAGGCTGCTGCTGCCTGCAGATCTCCCTTCAATAATGAAGAAAGCCTTGTGCTTCTGAGAGAGTCCAAGAGTAGCAGTTTGTCATCTATCACGTGTAACTCATGAGTGCCTACCATGTGCCAGGGACCATTCTTGGTCCTGGATAAACTACCATGGGTAAACAAAACTAACTCTGCCCTCAGAGACTTCACATTTTCTTGGGAGGGAAACATAACAAATGGTAAATTCATATAGAATGTTTATGTATTTGTTGGATTAAATGCTGATAAAGAAAATAATGCAAAGTAAGGTGATGGAGAGTGATGGGGGCTGCATTTTTAGAAAAGGAAGACAGGAAGGTCTTCCTGATAAGATGATATTTGATCAGAGATCTAGACAAAATGGAGTGGGGGAGAAGGAATAAGCCACATAGCTAATGGGAAAGAGCATTCCAGGTGAAGGGAACAAAAGGTACAAGGTCGCTGTGACAGGGAAGCTCCAGGGATATTGAAGGGGCTTGTGTTAATGGAATATAGTCACCTAGCAGAGGTTGCAGGAAATTAACTTGGAGATACAATGGGTGCCACATCACATGG